TATCCTTCTCAAAATGTTATTAATGAGTTTGGAATTTTGCTTAGTATTTGTATTGTCTTTTAAAAATCTATTTAATTAAAAATATTCAAAATATAAAATATTTGTATTGTATTTAATATTTGGTATGATGATCTAAATTTCAGTAATTTATTATCTGTTTAATTAATTAGTCTTGCTTATTTCGAGTTTTCTATATACTCATGTCCTTAAATTAAGGATAATGAAGTTCAGACAAAGAAAGAGACAGAAGCAAAACAAATGTAACTTATTTGTAAAGTCCATTTATTAAACAAAAGGTAAAGAGCAAAAATGATATTATATGTTTGACATAATTAATAAAAATTACGATTTTTACTTCCTGGAGCAAATTTCGAAAAAGAACCTATTTACTAGGCATGTTGAGTATCAAATTATCAATCTGATCTTGGGGAATATTACACCACTCAACAAGCAATGCCCTCCGAAGTTCCGGTTGACAGGTGGGAGGGGGTTGACAGGCTGCAATTCGTCGGCCAAGTATATCCCACACATGCTCTATTGGATTCAAGTCCGGGAGTATGCTGGCCAATCCATACGGGTGATATTCTCCAATTGAAGGCATTCGTCTACAATGTTTGAACGGTGAGGACAGGCGTTGTCATCCATAAAAAGAAATTCAGCACCCTTGGCGCCCCGAAACAAACGTACATGTTGTTCCAGAATTACATCCCGATAGATGTGTCCTGTCGTCGTTACACTCTGAACATGCAGGTCAGTTCTGGAACCAAGAATAATTCCTCCCCAAACGAGACATCCTGCACCACCGTAACGGTGTCGTTCAATGGTGTTTTCTTGGTGGTAACGGGTACCTGGCGTTCTCCATATGAAAGTCCGGTGAGAATCAGCCTGCAAACTAAACCTGGACTCGTCGGAAAACATCACACGAGACCACTGTTGCGGTGTCCACAATTCATGCTCTCTACTCCAGGTTAATCGCAGGCGACAGTGAGTTGCGGTAAGTGGAACACATCTGACAGGCCTACGAGTATATAGACCAATGTGCCCTAAGCGTCTGCGCACGGTCTGCCTTGAAACTGCTGTGCTGACAAGATAGGTCTGATGCTGTCCTCCGTCTGTTTCTTTTAGCAGTAACTGCTAAATACCGGTCCTCATTCAGCGTTAACTCGAGGGCGACCTGGGCTGTAACATCTACTCACATTACCATCATCTTGGAATCGTTGCCAAAGCCTGGAGATGACACTCTAGGCGATTCCAAGTTCCTCGGATACTTCCAGCTGGGTGCGTCCACATTCCGGTCGTCCAATAATTCTACCACGTAAAAAATCATCCAAATGCTTCCTTTGTGCCATAACTATGCGGTTATTGCACTGAAAGGCTTTTAAAGCGCTTGGGAACAATTTTACTTCTTTGCCATCATTCCTTATATACCCCTCTCTTTCACTCTCGTCATTGTGACGTACTATCCGCGCCATTTTTTGGTTTCCTGTAATTTGCATATTCTCCTTCAAGATGTGTGTGATAATTCTACAGGTGAAATTATTATTTTAGAGTTCAATTTCTGTGTGATTCTGAATTATCCTTAATTTATGGACTTGAGTATATATTCATTAAGAATTTTTTAAAAGTAAAGTTTACAAATTATATATATTTATTTTAAAAAATAAAGTGCATAAATTTACAATTTACATTATTTGTATTACAGTCGCAAATATATATATATATATATATTTATATATAATTCGAGTTGTATATAATTTACTTTTGTGAATTTTTTATCAAAACACTGAAAATTTGAAATAACTATTAATCAACAATCAATATTATAAAAAAAGAAATATTCTCCTAGGATCATATAAAAATCAGAAGAAGTAAAATGTTTGATTTCAAAATAGTGTAAAGTAGAATTTATGCAATTCATTTGAAAAAAAGTCATAGAATTTCAAATTACAAAGTAATTTCGCTTCTTACGTAAAAGTGATCCTTTATTAATTTAATAAAATAGAGCATAATAGAAGACAAATATAAATTCTGAAAAAAAATTGATTTATATAAAGATAAAATTATTTTGAAAGTAACAATCGGAGTAACGAATTACTTTTTTTCTTTAATTCCCTTTGAATTCTTCAAAGGCAATTAAAGCAGAAAATGAGATATGATTTGTGTTTTTATCACATTCTTTAAGATGTGAAAAAAAAGCAAGAAAAATATGCTAAAAGCGATAATAACGCCTTAAAGGTATTGAAAAGTTTTATGTTAATATTCATGAGCGTTCTATTTGGATGATTCGAAAATCAATTATAACTAAATCGAATTTCGCACCTGATAGAATTAAACAAATGTAAAAAGTAATAGAAAAAATTACTACACTGGGAATAGAGAATCGATTCTTGTCATTTAGCACATATAAGGCCCCGAACCGCTTTAACGACCAGCTTTAACTTTTTTTTTTATTTTCAAAAACAAGTCCCACATCCCCACCACCCGTCGTCTTTAGAATCCTTCCAAATTAGATCAGGTACGATTTGAAAAGGAACAACTTGCCACAGCTTTTTCGGCTACAAAACGGGCGAAACTTGAGGGAAGAAGGAAAACGCCATTTGCCACCAGAGCGATTATTTCGGCAGACAACATTTCCAGCTACCAATGGAGCACGAAGACAGAATCAAACTAATGAAGTCTTTGTTACGAGATAAAAGGAGTAAGAAAGAAATAAGAACTTCCAGTGAGAGAGAGAGAATATAATCTCTAACTCAAGAATTTGAAACTTCATGATAGAAGACAAAGTGTTTCTTCATCGTGAGCATGTTAAATCTTTTGTTTTGGAGAGAAGAATGTGTTTCCAATTCGCTGAATCTTTCTCATTTTACACTCTTGCGAGAGTTGACCACGAGAGATTGAGTAGTTTGGGATGCTGTTTTATTTTCATATCGAACACGATTTCGCTGATATTCAAAAAGGAACAACATAGTCCACGCAAACTTCTATTTTTCTCCTTTCCAATGAATCTTTCCAAAGTGCTCTAATTATGTCGTGACAATTGATTATGATTGACTTTTAATTGTTTCCGTGCACCTAAAGGACTCTTGAGAGGAAACATTATTTTAGTAATTACTCGAGAAGAATTGTTTTTTATAATTATTTTAACTATTGGATGTATGTTAAATAGATAATTTTGGCAAAGGATAATTAAATTTATTAAATTATCCTTTCCAAAATGATATGATTGAGTTTGAAATTTAGCTTAAAATTAAGTATTCAAAATATAATATGCTTGTATAGCATTTAATATATTGTGTGATGATTTAAAATTCAGTAATTTATTGTCTAATTAATTAAAATTATATCTATAGTGAAGCCTTTCTTTTCAAAATTATTTTTATAATACTTTCTCAGTAGCTTTTAATCATTGAAAGCGCAAATTAAACTCTTCTTTATGAAGTATTTCTTAACATAGATTGAACCACTGAAAAATTCGACAAGAATATCATTGATGTTTTCAAATTTCATTACAGATTTTTAAGGCTAAGCAATGAATTATATTAATTTTATTGATTATGTATTACATGATATTACTGTCTTGTTATATGGTAATGTTTTATTTCATGTTATTTAAATTGTTTTAAAACATTAATAGTTTGTAACTGAGAAAAGCCTCTTTACTATTCTATAAAATTGTAAAATTAATACATTATAATATACACTGAAGTAACAAAAGTCATGGGATAGCAATATGCAAATTTTCAGATGGCAGTAGCATCGCGTAGAACAGGTATAAATGAGCAGTGCTTTAGCAGAGCTTTCATTTCTGTTCAAGTTATTCATGTTAAGAGGTTTTGACGTGATGATGACCGCACGACGGGAATTAACAGACTTTGAACGCGGAATGTTAGTTGGAGCTAGACGCATGAGTCATGCCATTTCGGAAATCGTTAGGGAATTCAACATTCCCAGATCCACAGAGTCAAGAGTGTGCCGAGAGTATGAAATTTTAGGCATAACATCCCACCATGGGCAGCGCAGTGGTCGACCGCCTGCCCTTAACGACCGCCTGCACTTAACTTTGAAGAACATTCTGGACAATTCCAACGAATGATCTGGCCACCTAGATCGTCCGACATAAATCCCATCGAGCATTTATGGGACATCATCGAGAGGTCTGTTCGTGCCCAAAATCCTGCACCATCAACGCTTTCACAATTATGGACGTCTATCGAGACAGCATGGCTCAATATTCCTGCAGAAGACTTCCAACGACTTGATGAGTCCATGCCACGTCGAGTTGCTGCACTTCGCCGGGCGAAAGGAGGGCCGACACGATATTAAGAGCAAATGCAAATGGTAATGAACTGAATAGTTATGTATACAATAAATTAGTCACATTTACGTTTACAGTATATTTTTTTGTGTTTCAAATGACTTGCGATTGATTATTTATTTAAATAAAGATGTATATTTGTTACTTAATTTAATGAATGAAAAATCAATTATGTTATTTTAATGACATTTATCTTTCATAAAGAACTCGTCCAGTAAAGGTTTTATTTGGGATTTTATAGTTTTGAAAATTGGTTGAGGTTCCCGTTAATAGAAGTAAGTTAAAATTGAAAATCGATGGCATAAATGAAAACGTGTACTGTATTAACAGATTTCAAAATGCAAAAATATTTTGATGGTAATTTACAGATTCAATTTTACTATTTATTATTTTGGAATATAACAAGCGGTTTTGATGAAGAATGCTATATTTAATAAAAAAAAAGCAAACTTAAAATTATACAGATCCAAATATAAGACAGTCCAAATATATCTCTAGACGGTGTAAGTTGAATAAACTTTACGTCATCAAAATGTTTAAAATTGCTGAATTTAGTGAAACACATTAAGATATAAAATATTGAAATGCAGATTTCTCGTTTAGTGATAATTTAAGCCAAATACGAGGTAATAACAACTAATTTTGAATAAATTATTCTATGCATTAAATTTGACATGCATTTAATGTTCTCGTTAGATCACCGAAGTTAAGCATCATTGGGCGCGGTCAGTACTTGGTGGGTGACCACCTGGGAACACTGCGTGCCGTTGGCAAAATTGGGACCTGAATGGCCGAGTGTCTAGCGCTCTGGCGCTCGGTGCCACAGGTTTCGGGTTCGAATCCCGGCGGTGCCATGGATGTTTGTAGTGGTTCGGTATCCACTTTAAGCCGTAGGTCCCGGTCTTCTATGACTGTAAGAGCGTCACGGAGCAAAAGTCAGGCTTCTACCTACGGGTGCTCCATCACAACAGAAGCTGCTTCCTTCCCATTCAATCATGGGTCCATATGGGCTCGTGGGCTTGGCCAGCCAAGTGGGATAAGAAACAACAACAACAACAACAAATTTGACACGAAATATTAATTAAAACGAGTTACTAAAATATTCCTTTTTAAAAGCATAGTAATTTTATGTAACATTTATTGAATAGTATAGTCACTTTTTATAACGCCTACTTAATACTATAGTGATCTTATATAACGCCTATTTAATAAAATAGTGATATTATATAACGTATATTAAATAATCAGTTACTGTAATATTCCTATTTAACAGTATGGTAATTTTAGGTAACGCCTATTTAATAGTATAGTAATTGTATATAAAACCTATTTAATTGTATAGTAATGCTGTATAACACCTATTTAACATTATAGTAATTTTATATAGCACCTATTTAACAATAATTTTATACATAATATTATTATATTAAAACATTAGTGCAATTAAGTATATAGTTTTAACTACGTATAAAAGCATTCAATTTTTAGTGATTTTTATCCCTTAAAATAATTGAGAAATATTTTAAGGTGAATGTTTACGGGAGAAAAATATTTTAATAGGAAGATTTATTTTAAGACTGTGTAATTGACATTTTAAGATTGTTTATTTTAAATCAATCTTAAAATAAACAGTCCTTATTTGTTTTAAGACTGTTTTAATTTGCTAACATTCGTAAATATAAGTATTCCTAGTACCTTCAATTCTAGTTCTAAAATGTTTGTCCTAGAACTAATAAATTTAATTTAGATAACGTTAAGAATTAAATCAAAATTAATTTCAATTTGTTGATCATATTAAATCAATGATTATTCCAATTTAATTACATGACTGTCAAAAAATGCGATCTGTACCCATAAAACTTAATTGGTTCTTCAATTGATTTGCCTTATTTGATATGCTCTCCAAAGATTAGCTGATGAACAGAAACCGAAAGAAACCTCAAGTCTTCAAGGAAAAAGGTTTCTGAGCCAGAAATAAAATTTTTTTGCCCACAAAATAAGAAACTTCCTGAAGTAGAGAAAGTCTGAGGAGAGGAAAAATTACATCCAAGAGATGTCCAGGCGTTAACCTGAACAAGACTTGCATTTCAATTTCCCACTCAATTCTTAACTGTAGCGACATCTAAAATGCGTTAGGAAAGAATTTGATTTCGGAATTTCTTTTCTAACAGTCAGATAGAATTCCAGAAAGCCACGTTCACAAAAGGAAGGCGAACAATGAATAGGGGGGATCGACATTTCTCGAAAAAATTCAATTTGCTCATTCCGTGTTAAATTTACTTTCGAACTTATTTGAGCCTACATGAGAAAGCAGCTGCTCCTACTTAAATGTTTATGGATGCAAATTTGAATTCATTTCCTTCTAAATGCTCCTAAAACCAGAAGTGTATATTACTCATTTCATTGCTTATTTTATACGTACACAATACAGAATTACGTATTTTTTTAGAAATATTCAAACTATAAAAACGGAAAGAAAGGGATTTAATATATTTACTTAAAAAAGAAAAACTTCGAAGAAAAGCTTTTGTATTCCAGAAACAAAGTTTTAAATGAAATTTGCTTGACTGTTAATATGATTAATTGATTTTTTTAAACATATTTATCCTTTAACGTTAAGAGGTCTTCAATGTATATTTTTATATTGTTTATTAAAGAAAAAATGATGTATGTTCATAATAAAAATTTCCAGCGAGAACATTGCTTTTATTTTACTTTTCAGCTCTGCTACGACTACGATAGCAACACAATTTAAATGGTAAGGCCGATTGACTTTATTTATAAATCAAAACCATAATTCATCATTTATCAATTATTTTATCAATTCAAATGATAACTTATAATCTATCAATTATTTTTTTAATTCAAACCATTGTTATTATTTATACATTATTTTATCAATTCTAACCATAAGTTATCATTTATCAATTATTTCATTAATCCAAACCAGAAGTTATCATTTATCAATTATTTCATTAATACAAACCATGAGTATTCATTTATCAATTGTTTTATTAATTCAGACCATAAGCTATCATTTAACAATTATTTTATGAAGTCAAACCATACCCCTTTTAAATTGTTATTGGGATTTAAATGTTTATCTTTAACTATTTGGAAGAGCAAAATTGACATCTTCAATTTCCAACTATAAAATTAAAAATTCTCTAAATTTTTAATACAAGTTATAAAATAAAAAAAATCCAGGAAAAAATCCTCAGTCACAACCAAATTTCATCAAAGCTTTAATATTAAACTCACCTGAGATGACACTTAAAATAACGAATGAACATTAATGACTTTTTTAACTGTCGAGACATCTTTTAATGCACTTAAGAAAAAGATCCAGAAAATAAACAGAATGCAGTTTGAAATGATATAAAACTTTGATGTATAACTCAAAACAGTGATAGTTATTCCTTTATTTTGGCTACTAATGTAATAGCCTATTTAAACCACTACTTAATTTTGAAAAAATATTAATCATAATTTGAATTTGCATATTTAAAAACATATGTTTAGATACAGATTATTTTTAAATAAACATTATAAACAAACAATTAATATATTTCAGATATAATTGTAATTTTTAAATTCATAAAATATTTTTTTCTAACAATAAAATCAAAATTACATTTTTACTTTAAATTTAAAAAAAATAATAATAAATGTAAGTAGTAAAATTTCTTAATAGCTTACAAAACATGTATTTAATAATATTTGAAAATAATCCTTTAATCTTTTTAATAATATTTTAATGGTTATATTCCTTTCTATTGAACATTCCTTTACTTTCCTTTGTCCTTTCTATTCTTTTCTATTCAAAATTTATACAGTATAATTATATTATTATGTATTATAATTTCAAATTTCTCTTTGATGCCCCAAGAAAACAGATATTTATTCGTAATTTGTTGAAACATTTCATAATAACTTTCTATTTACTTCTGACTTCTCGCTCTAATTAAGTGTGAAATGCCGTCTCTTTAATTATAGTGTCTTTTCGTAGCAAATAAGATTTTTTTCAGTTTCTGTTAGAGAGTGAAAATATTGTCAACAACTTTAAGTTTCTCATAACTTCTCAGGAAGTATGAATAAAAAAAAAAATTATACATTAGATTACATAAGCTCGAATAATTTAAAATTTATATATTTTCTAATGAAAGCAACAAGAACAGTTATTTGTAACACTAGAATTAGAATGGTTTCCTTTGAATGTTATGATAGTAGTGAAGAAAGAATATCAATGAATAATTTATTGTCTTCTGAAGTTCTAATTTGAATTACTATTATACTTTAAAAGAAAAAAACACTATTTACAGAAAAATATTACATAAGAATAGTAAACTTTTTTTGACATGTTTACTAATTATTCATGCTTAATTATACAAACTTCCCACCTGTGTTTTATTTGAAAGTGAAATTTATTTGTTTATGATAACCATTCTATTGACACAAAACTTCCAGAATCTTATGATACAAATGTATATAGATGTACACAGATATATAGATATAGTACATAGATATTTAATACTTAACTTTATCTGTATCAAACTCAAAGCTTTGTTAAGTAAAATATAATATATACCTCTGAAATATTGAAAATGTTATACACTAACAATTCATCCGTCGTATCTCAAGTTACGTAGTTATTTATATCATTGATATGATATTTTATTATATCTTCTTATATTATTCATATATTTATGTTATGTATTCTCTTACATGTATTATATGCAAACTGACAATGATATAAAAAATATATCTCCCAGAAGTCTCCCTTTACTAAAAGCCAATGAGGTAAGAGCCTTTTACTATTTTGTACTTTCAGTACTCGAAAAAAAAATATATATGCAAATCGTAATGTCGTATGAAATATAAAAGGAACGTCATATAACATAAATAAAAAATAGTAAAAGGTAATAATAAATAATAATGAAAATCGTATAACACAAATTTTGATGATGCTATGATGCAACACCTTTCGATGAATGTTGAATGTTCTTTAATAAAGTAGAAAACGGACCATAATCGAGACACGATTCAGGTTCGGTAGTAAATAGTGCTATAATGCTGCAAGAGACTGCAAGGGTTTTGAGTGTTACAAGAATTACTGTAAATACAGTGTATACGCACTATTATTGATCTAGAATAAAATATAACAGCTGATACAATGTCGGTCAAAAGGCAATTGTCACGTCAAGAAATGATGGACGTGTAAGTCACCTGAATATTTCTAATTTCTGAAAGAGGATACACTTATATACGTTGGCTGATACATAACCAGGGCAGTCTATTATTGAAAGCATTCCGACACTAAGAAATGAATAAATTTCATTTTTTTATCCAAACACACGTGACACCCATCGCATACTGCACAGCTAAACCTAAAAAGAGTATAATAGTCTGAAACACATCACTACGGCTGGGAATAACAGAGTATGTATAGTATGATCAGAAGAGTTACTGTATTCTAATTGCATTCCAATTATTCCCGTAATAAAGTCAACAGGAAATCCGGACAGACGTATTCTCTGGACTGTGAACCTGGTATCCATATTCCATTTTCAATATGTAATTATTTCGACCTGTAAAGGTCGCTCAGACATTCGCTGATCTTTTGAGTCTCATTATACATGATACCGAATATCTGCAATCAGATTTGAGTGTCTGGTCGTTCTCATTAATATAAAACACTAATGGTGAAATTTAAATGATGGGTTGATATGATAAACTTGTCAAATTATATACATTCGTCTCTCCTGCTAA